CCTTCTATAGGAAATCAAAATTTACATAAAAAGGAATTTAAATACACTATATGAACTGTTCATTTAATATCAATTAAAAAGCACAGAATTTTAAACTGGTTAAAATTAGTAATGTTTTAAACTCAGGAGAGATCCATAAAAAACAACATGGTTTTCAATTTCAAAATTTTCAACTGATATTCAAAAGATCTTATGTTACACAACTTGAATCTCTTATTAAAACTATATATAGAAGGCTTAACAAGAAATTTATCTGGAATTAAAAAAAAACTTGCATAAATTTTGATTCTTGGCATAAATAAAAACACTTCATATGCTGTAAAAAAACAAACTACTAAGGAAACTCCATTTCATCAAAAAATTTTTTGTGAAGTATCAGATAAAGATTTATATTATATCCAATAAGAATAAACTTTGACAGAAAATAATTTATTAAAACAAAAAAGTTAGTCACAGATTATTTAGTTTTCAGTGAATATATTACATTTATGTAAAGTAATTAAGATGACATAAGAAAGAGATTACAATCCTGCTGTTTTTAATATGCATATTTTAACTAAAAATTATTTATATTCAGGTTTTGTTATGAGAACTGTCATATAATTTTAAGTCAAACAAAATAATAATGATATATGTAAAATAATAGTGTGTCATACAATACTGCATGACAAATTGTGTTACTGTATGTTTAACCAAAATACATACAATAAAAGTAAAATAATGATTAACTTACCAGAAACCAGATGGCTTGAATATAAAATATTCAGTTAATTGGTGATACCAAACAATTATTATTGGAAAATGCCGGCATTTATAGCATGCTGTTAAAAAAAGGATAATAATTCAAAATCTGCAATGGACCAACAGCAAGGTGTTTAGCAGTTACATTAAAAACTTAAGTCTGACTTACAAGAAGATAAACTCAGGTTTTGTCAGTTTATCTCCTGAAGTTCACTTACTAAATGTGTGAAAGTAGCTCATTAATGCTTTTTGCTTATTGAAGAAAAAAAATTCTTAATTTATTAAAAAAAGGCACTGAATCAAAATTACAAACTGGTATCTATTACTATTTCAACTGTCATATTTTAACAGACAATTTTCTGAACTTGTCTAGTGGAAAACTTGAAACGTTAAAATGTGATAGTTCATAATTAAATTGTAATTTATGAACTATCACATTTACTTATTAATTTAAATTATTATTGATAACAAAAAACAAAGCAGAAAAACTACAAATAAAAAAAATTAACCTAAATATATAATATTTGTAAAATATTGTACTTCTCATAAAAAACATTTTAAAATCAAAACTGAATAGATTGTGTTCCTATCTACTATTACTCTCACAAATGACTGCAAATTAAAACTTGCCATGTAAGAATAAAATTATTTATAATTTTTCTGGGGAGGGGAAAATTAAAAAAAACCATTACATTTTACAAAAATTAATATAGTATCAAATAAAAATGATAATAATCCATTCAAGGAGAAAATTCTTGTGATATTTCTATATTTTTTGAAAAATTTCTTAATATTGTTTTACTTAAAGTATTACAAATCACATTTTATTAAACTTTTATCTTCATTTTAAAAATGAAAATGGTTACATATTCATTTGATTTGATTTGTTACAAAAGAAAAAAGCTTTCAGATTCATCATTATTAAATTTGGGTATTTTTATGCATTTTTTTGTACTGAGTATTTGTATCCACTGATTTTCAAAGATATATGGATACAAATATAATGCCTCTGACTGACAATAATAATTTTTTTAATGTTATTTCATATCATCTTGAAGTATAATTAAATTAGTAATAGTTATTAAAGTAAATAAAATTAGTTTTAACAAAGTACAGCGGAACCCCAGTTAACAAATGTAATCCGCTCCACGAGTCCGTTTGTTAACCGAAGCATTTTTCCCATAGAAATTAATGCAAATACAATTAATCCGTTCTAGCCGTCAGTATTTTTGTAATTTTATTTGTAAAATGGGTTTTCTTTGATGAAGATATAAGAAAACGTAGTATCTATTATTACAGCAACAAATATGTAAACTTTATTTAATAAAGTAGCACTGTACATACCTTTGTTTCTACGGAGCTTAATACTTGGAAGAGGAATCCCCTCCATAAAAATATCAGGTAGCACTGCATCGGGAGTTTCTTCGAGTCAAGGTCTCTTTTGATAAGGAACAAGAAAGTGGTCTAAAGTTGATTGTCTTACTCTCTTAATCAAAATTTTTCTAAAATGCGCTAGCACAGTGTCGTTCATTAAATTTAATGACCTTATTAACCACAATTTTGTTAGGATGGTGCTTCTCAATAAATTCCTGCACATCATTCCATTTTTTGCAAATTTCCTTGATCTCAGCACTGGTGATTTCTTCCCTAGCCTCTTCCTCTGATGAATGCTCTTCTTGTAAGACTTTCATCTGTTCTTCCTGCATGGAACCAGCTATTCTGTCGTTAGTTCATTCTGATGGTCTTTCAGCAACTCCTCCACGTCTGCATCATCTACCTCTACTCTCAAACTCTTGCCAATGGACATGATTTCATGCACTATATCAGGAGAGCTCTCGTCTTCAAATTCCTGAAAGTTTTATTCTGGGACTCAAGTTGGCCAAAGTTTCCTCCAGGCCGATTGCAAAGTGTGGTGAGAGACCTCACTCCAGGCTTTGTCAATAAGGTTGATACAACGCAGGATGTTAAAATGCTCCTTCCAAAAAGCTCTAAGAGTTAAGTCAGTATCATTGGTAACCTGAAACACATGGTAAACAGCTTTTTAAAATTGGAAATCACTTGCTGATCCATTGGTTGAAGTAATGGAGTTGTGTTTGGTGGAAGGAATTTGACCTTGATGAAGTCATGTCACTATCCAAGTCATCCTCCAAATTTGGTGGATATGCTGGAGCATTATCCATTAAGAGAAGACATCTAAGAGGAAGATCCATTTCCTGAAGATAATTTTTAACAGTAGAAGCAAACACTTCTGTGAGCCAATCCATGAATAAAGTCCGAGTTACCCATGCCTTACTATTTGCCTTCCATTGTACAGGCAGTTTGGACTTTATCACATTTTTGCTCTTAAAGGCACAGGGATTTTCAGCATTGTAGACTAAAAGTGGCTTGATTTTGAGGTCACCACTTGCATTAACGCAAAATAAAAGAGTGAGTCTGTCCTTTACGAGCTTGTGCCCGGGAAGTGCTTTCTCTTCTTGGGTTATGTACATTCATCTAGGCATTCTTTTCGAAAAAAGACCGGTCTCATCACAATTAAACACTTGATTCCAGACGTATCCTTCACTTTTTACAAACTCTGTGAATTCATCTACAAATGCTTTTGTTGCTTTTTCATCTAAACTTGAAGCCTCCCCATGTCTTATGACACTGTGAATGCCAGTTCGTCGACGAAACCTATCAAACCACCCTCGGCTCACTTTAAAGTCCTGCCTGTCTGCACTTGTACTGGGTGTCTGGGTCAATAAGTCATTGTATAAATTTTTAGCTTTTTCACAAATTATAGCTTCGCTAACACTGTCTCCAGCAAGTTGCTTTTCATTGATCCATATTAGCAACAGTTTTTCAACTTCATCTAAAACTTTAGATCTTTGTTTCAATATCACATTCACTCCTTTATCCACTTCGGCAGCCTTAAATGTTTTTTTGTTTTTAATAATTGTAGAGATAGTCAATTTTACCATATTATATTCTTTAGCGATGTCAGAAACACGAATGCCATTCTCGTATTTTGCAATAATTTCTTTGCTACACTAAAACATTTTCTATTTTCATTGTCAGTTTTTCTTTGGTGCCATATTGATTAAATATACAGTATAAATAACAAAACTAAAAAACGAAGTTTAGCACACTTGAAAAAGCAATGCTTACCTCGTGCACGCCTAAGAGCAACTGAAATTTGTGAAGTTCCAGAACGGCTGGAAACTATTGGGTTGATGCAAAGTTTGTCCCGTTTTTAGCACCAGCTGGCTAAAAACACAACACTAAAGTGTTATTTCCTTCACATGTATAAAATTTCGATGTTGTTTGACAAAAGGGATTTCAGCTAGTATTTGAGAATAAAGTTGTCTTACTTAGTTGTGTTTTTAAAATTTTGTTAAGCATTATAAATGGCAGAAAATAAGGAGCATTTTCGACATATTATACTTTTTTATTTCCGAAAAGAATGCTTCACAGACACAAAAAAAAGATATGTTCTATGTATGGTGAGGGAGCCATTGATGATTCCATGTGCCGTAAGTGGTTCAGAAAGTTTCGTGAAAGCAAGCTTGCAAATTTGACGCAAAAAGCTGTTAAGTTCGTTATCCGAGACAAAATTTTTGCAAAATAAAAGTTTGTTAACCGATTTGGTCATTAACCAGGATGTTCATTAACCGGGGTTCCACTGTAGTTGTTATGTCATCATAAAGTAATAAAAAAGCCACATTTAGCTTTTGAAACTTTGTTCAACTTAATTATGTTAAATATCTCAATAAAACCAAAATTATTTTATTTGTATTTCATGTTCATCATCTTAGATTATCATAATAATTATGATAATTTTTTTTAAACTAATGTAACTATTTTTTTTTTTACAGGTCAGAAGAGTAATTCAGTAATTTGAACAGCATTAGCAATGCATTTGCCTGACATTTTTTATCAACAGATCATAAATAATTAAAATAAAATCAAGATAATGATCTAAATTGTTCTTTAATAACATCTATCTGTAATCAAATTTACAAGGTAAAATTTGATAAATGGACTAAAAATTATTAATTTCTCTATTCAAACAAAACACAATTAAAGGTTGTGAAAAAAGGACAAGATGAAGACTTTTATTGTTTCTTCCAAATTGATTATTTTATATAGAATTAATGGTTTTAATGAAATTTTAAGTTGTTCTTTAATAACATCTATCTGTAATCAAATTTACAAGGTAAAATTTGATAAATGGAGTAAAAATTATTAATTTCTCTATTCAAACAAAACACAATTAAAGGTTGTGAAAAAAGGACAAGATGAAGACTTTTATTGTTTCTTCCAAATTGATTATTTTATATAGAATTAATGGTTTTAATGAAATTTTAAGTTGGAATCAGATGTCCATATTATTGATAATTTTTTTCTATAAAATATAAATTATATAAGAAGGGAGTTAAATCACTTCTTAATTTCTCTTCTGTATCCCTAAAAGTTAGTAGTTGCAATGTGGTCAAAACTAATAATTTTACATGTTAAGAATTTTCAAAATATATATAAATAGTTTGCTGTATATTAGTTAATATGACGATTTTAGTCTCTGTAATCCAAAAATATTCTTGGTAGACAAATCTCACAGCAATCTTATTGGCAAATTAAATTTATTTTGTAAAGACTACATCAAATGCATTTCGGGCTGGTCTAATATTTTCCAGTCCCTCTTCAGTGCTAAAATAATAACAAAGAACGTAAAATGTTTAACTAAAACACGACATAGATGTATATCTACACCAAAATTATAAATTTTGGAGAAAAACTTACAATAACTGCTGGTGGTAATTAGACCAGCCCGAAATGCATTTGATGTAGTCTTTACAAAATAAATTTAATTTGCCAATAAGATTGCTGTGAGATTTGTCTACCAAGAATATTTTTGGATTACAGAGACTAAAATCGTCATATTAGTTAAGAATTTTATTAAAGAAACTGTTGTATATGTAATACTAGCTGTTACTTGCGACTTTGCCCGCGCAGATTTTGCAAGCAAACCCCATTTATATTCAGTATTTCAACAACCACAGTAATTGTTATATAAACCCTACCACTGAGAATGATGAGAATTGCTGAGAATCAAATTAACTATTTTCAATTTGATCAATTTTCTGGAACATTTACAATCATTCTATAATCGAACCAATATACAATAACAAATTCGAATTTAAAACGGTTCGAACATTTAAAAATCGAAATAGATAATAACATTTCAGACATTGTTATAAATATTTTTAATTTAATACACCTAAGTACTCGATGAAGAGTAAATCCTCTCCGATTCCTGCCTGCAGGGGAATTTCGAAAAATCCCTTCTTAGTGTGCATTCTCATGGCATACCCTACTAAAACGCAGATAAAAACAAAAAATTGCATCTAAAATAGTACAGTAGAAGCCATTCTTCCGGTTAAGCCTTAATGCTCCCCCTCTCCCCCACGGAGGAATTTTGAAAAATCCCTTCTTAGTGTGCGTTTCCATGACGTACCCTAACTGTCTACCAAATTTCACCTCTTTAGGTTAAGCGGTCTGCTCTCGGCAATGATGAATCAGTGAGTGAGTGAGTGAGTCATTCAGTCAGTCAGTCAGGACAAGCAATTTTATATATTTAGGTATAAGATATTCTCTAAGTAGCCTTCCTAAGACACACTATAATTATTCTTATAGAATTTATGAAAATATATAAAGAAAACAAGTCCAAATTATGCTAATAAACTGATAAGTTCTAATTTTATATACTCTGACTAATTACAAGTCACATAGTATCCAAGTTCTATTATAACAGTTAATCCAGCCTTATCATTTAATTTATAAAAAAACTGTTAATGATAATATGAATTATACACACACAATGGAGATAATAAATTTCTACTGAAACTTTGGAAAATGGCTAGATAAAGCAAGAGTTGTTAAACTTGACATGCAATTTTTATTTTATTTTAATCTACAGCAAAATTTTACAAAATTACTTAGTGTTTTTAGTTTGATAATTTTTAAAACAACATAATTACAAAATTTTGTATACAGTATTTGTTTTATTTCTACATGATTAATGAATTGAAAAAGCTATTTTTCAATTGAAAAAATTCAGATGATTAAAATATAGTAACAAATAGCCTTTAATCCAGCAAAACAATAAAACTGAAGAATAAACATTTTCAGCCACACCTGACCCAAAGTTTGAACCTGACCACTAAATGTAGCCAAAAATGTTCATTATTCTTCAATTTTATTGATTTGCTGAATTAAAAGATTGTTGATTATTATATGTATTGACTGTAGGTAGGCAAACACTATACAAAAAACTAAACAGATATAAAAAAAATTCAATACAGAAAATTAAGCAAGCTATTAATAAAGCTGAATAAGACAAAAAAAAAAAAAAAACAAAAGGAGAAACAAGTAATATTTCTTTGTTTTATTTTGACTTCTGTCACAAATCTCTAACAACAAAATAATATGTAGTGTGTTTACAGAAGAATTTGAAAGACTGAAGAATCATTAAGACCTAATAAAAAAACTGAGGCAAGATTTTGGTAAACAAGCAATTCTTAAGTTATAGTTTCTCTCCAATAATAAATACCTAATATTTCTTACTTTTATTGGTTTATATATGCACTAGCAGCCCAGGACGCCCCCTAGTGGGCGTTCTAGCGTTTTTTCATCATTCGCCCCCTAGTGAACATTACAGGCATTCCATGACAATAATAAATTCCGATTACAAATATACTGAATTATTTATATTGAATGTTTGAAATATGACACACGATAGGGGTGCCTCTAGTGTCCATTATCATACCATTACGCGGACAGAAGGATACCCATTGAATGGGTTATATATATAGATGTACAGTACTTATTCTGATAAGGTCAGCACTACATTCAAGAAAAAATGCATAGAATGTAAATAAATGAACAAGACAAATACAACCAATTGTTTTTACACTATTTTTAAATATTTTGATTTTAACATGATCTGGAGAAAAAAAACTGAATTCTGTTTTTAAACAATTTGTTTTGATTCTAGTATGTTTCAATAAATTTGCTTTTTAAAAATCTTCATTTTATTTTAATTCAAACTATGAATTCCCCCCCTTAATTTTCTACAAAACTGCTTTTTAAAGAACATTCTTGAAATTTGCATTTAACTATTTTTTTTACAAATTAAATAGTCTTTCATTCCAACTTTATCCTGTAATTGTATAATCAGAAAATCTTCAAGTTTGATAATTTGTGTATATAATTGTGTAACTTCTAATTCTTAAATACAGAATAGTTTTTGTATAGCCATTTTGCATTTAATTGAAAAAGATCAAATAAAAATTGAGTAATATAAATTTATTAAATTTTGATAATATATAATAATCAGAGGGGGACAATTTTAACTTAACTAAAATTGAAATATTTTGTTTAACCACTTTACTGTTACCAACAAAATTAAATAATCATCTGCAATAATGTTTTTTGGCTGTCTAGGCAGCAATCTTCAGGATACATCGTACAGAACAGATATACATAGATTTGAACATATCCTATTACATTAATTGGTTTATCATATTAATTTTACTGGTTTGGTCTGGAACAGATTTTCATTTTTCCATATAAACTACCTTTTTTAAACTTTTTTTACATGGATTTTTCAAGAATGTATTACTGTGTAAAAACAGAATTGGGTGACATTTGTTTCTTAAAATATTACAATGCAAACAAATATATACAACATTAGATAGTATTAAATCTCATCCTGTGCTAAATTTTTGATATATAAAAAAAACTTTTTTAAAACTAATACAATACTAGATTTAACAAATTAATGTTTCATGTGTAAGTCATGTGATATTTATCATGTGGCTTGCACATAAATATAAGAAATCAAAAAATATAATGTTTTTAAGTCTCTAGATTATATGTAACATTCCTCTTATATTTACAAGCAAAAAGCATTATGTTGTTACTTTTCACATATGAATAATCAAAATATAAATGATAATGTTATTTCAGATTAAAATTTAATCATCTGACTTATGAACTTTCCACTTCATTATAACAACAATAGTAACTTTTCTATAACCTTTAATGTTTAAATACAATATTGTTATAATGTGTAAAAAAATGTAATAATAACACACATTGAAGTTGCAGTGTCTGTATAACTACTGTAGACAATAAACAATTACTCATTATTTCATAAGGCTTAATGTATATTAATTTCAGAAGAAAAATTTAAAAGCTGTTTNAATTAGCACCCATGCTAATATGCCATTCATTGTGTCAGTAATGGCTTCAATTTTATTTCCATTAATCAAATGTATTATATCAGGTTTATAAGTGTGTATACTATCCCATGATGTAAAAATTTTTAATTAAAAGAACATTTTAATTTAAGTATGTTACATTAATTTGTCAGTTTAGTATTGCACAGCAAATTATACAGTAACAGACCTCAGAACAGAAAATGACTTCAAAATAAATGAGAATAGTAACTCCCAGCAAGGAAAGAGTGATTAAACAGTTACAAATAAAATTAATTGGTCATGTTATATTTCAGATTTAATTCAATTTATTTATTTAGAAAGTTTAAATCATATATTTTAATTAAATCTAAATAGAACTATCTGTTTCATTTATCTCAAGAATGTATTTTTTACTTCCAGGAAAATTAATTTACTTGAAGAAGTTAATTTTATATAATGAAAAATTTGCATTTGTTTTATACATGCATTTATATAAACTAATATTAATGGTTAGAAAATTGATAATTTAATAATCATATGATATATTACTTGTTTATAAGCTACTGAAATAAGAACAAATTATTTGTCCACAATAGATATCTTGTTTATCGTCTAAATATCATCATCTAAGCCATATTTGTAATAATTATTTGTAAATAACTATTCCATATATGGAAGAATCAAAATTCCATATTTTCTGATTTATCAACATTTTTAAACAATTATTTCCAATAAGAAGTGTTTGAAATCACCACAGTCATATTTTTATTCAAGTCACCTTATAGTATTTTTATTCATCATAATGCAAGAGGCTAAATATATCAATTGAAATAAATAAGATGATGAGCACTTAATTTATGAATCTTGCTTATATTTTAATAAGAAAATATT